CCCCCTCCAGGCTCTGGTGGCTGGGCAGCAAGGGGCGCAGCCCCCCAGGGCCTGTGCTGCTCTGACAGCCCCTCCCCCAGGCTGTAGGGCCTTTCCCTGCGTCCTCTGCCCCGTGGCCGGCAGGGCGCTAGGGCCTGGGGAGAGCTGCTTTCCCTTTTCTGTGAGCAGCAGAGCGGGGCCGGTGGGTGAAATCACAAGGAAAGAAATGTTCAAAGTGCATACAAAGCAATAGATCCTGCAGCCTGGTCAGATGATCTGCAGAACTCACTGCCGCAAGGTTTCGCGTGAGGCCAAGAGCTGACAGGATTCAGAAAAAGCGTTCTCCGTGTGTATCGCTCCTGCTTGACCCCCCGCTTCGAGAGGACAACGCCAACCCCAACTCACTCCCCTGCTCCCGCGAGAGCCCGTACCTCCCCGCTCCAGGTGGGAACTGCTGGCCCATCCCCGTCACGGAAGCGGAGGTGTTTGGCTCGGAAGCAGCTATCGCACCCCGGGTTTGTGCCTTCCCCCCCCCCCCCCGTCCCAGTTCTGCCTCCGGGGGAGCGGGGGGGGGGGAACGGAATTTCTGACAGTTCCCATGTAAATTGGTTACTGGTTCGGAATAAAAATGAATTTCACACGGTTCCTTTAATGAGTTTAGCGCCTGGTGTCAGCCTGTTCGTGTGCCCTCAATGCTCTTAGCGGGATAAGAAGGAGGCTCCACCTGCCCGGGCCAGAGTCCCTGCCAGTTGGCGCGCCGGCTGCCGTTGGGCGCTTTTGGCAAGCGGATGAATGGTCCGTGCTCTTGTCACTGCCAGTTTCTTCAGCAGGGGCAGGCCACGAATGTTCTTCCGCAGCCCCCCGGCCGGCCCCCTCTCTGCTGGTCATGGCACTGACAGGGCCCACCGCAGAGATGCCATCTTCCAAACGACCCTGGTAACGAAGCCAACTTGCCCATGGGGCCGCAGGCCGGGCCTGGCAGCAGGGGGACAAAACCAATAGCAAAGAGCTCCTCGTCACACCCGTCTGCTCATCAGGGCAAGCTTCCGGGTGGACATGGATGGAGGACTGTGATAGGAACCAGGCACAGGCAAGTATCCCTAGCGGCGGTTGCTTAGCAGTATCCCTAGCAACGGTTGCTTAGCAGTAACCCTAGCAACGGTTGCTCATCCTAGCAGTAACCCTAGGAACGGTTGCTCATCCTAGCAGTATCCCTAGCAATGGTTGCTTGTTCTAGCAGTATCCATAGCAGTAATGATTGCTTAGTATCCCTAGCAACTGTTGTTCATCCTAGCAGTATCCCTAGCAACGGTTGCTTAGCAGTATCCCTAGCAATGGTTGCTCATCCTACCGTGTCCCTAGCAACGTTGGCTTTGGGTGTCGCACTTCATTCCCGGGTTAAGTTTATAGTAACGGACACCGGGAAGTTGCCAGGTGCTGAAGTGGCGTTAAACGGGAGTGTGTTTCGGTACCTGCAAATGGTACGGGGAGGGCAGGGGGTTTGCCATTAGTGCCAGGCGGGGCATCCTAAATCCCAGAGGGGAGGAAGGGTGAGAGCAGCCCTGACGTGTTCCCTAAGGCTCGGGCCTGCAGAATGTGCGGGCTGCAGCCGGCAGCAGCAGGGGGAACGAATAATTGGGTCTGGATTGTGTTTGTGTTTCGCCGTCTCTTGGCCTTTCCTGGGGGTGGGGCTTGGGGACACTGCCACTCGCTCGGCCTCCCCGCCCTAGTCGGCTCCTGGAACCCTGTGTTCGGGGGTTCTCAGCCCAACCTCGGATGTGGCCGGAGCGGACGAGGGGCCACGCTGACCAAGCGACTTCCTGCACTGGGCATGGGAAACAAGCTAAACCCCCAGGGCGGGGCCCCCCCTTGCCATGGCAACGCCAGCAGGCCGCAGGGATGTCTCTGACCTGGCCCCATGCCCCACCTGAGCCCCTCATGTTGCTGGCAGGACTGTGGCTTCAGAGAGGCAGTCACAGGAGTCCCCTTGGGGTGGACCACTGACACCTCCTTCCTGCCCTCTGGGGCTCCCCACACCACCCTGTCCTGGGGGCCCAGATCCTCTGCTCTCCCCCGGAGTTGGGGTCGCCACCCCCTGCAGAGCACCACAGACACAGATCCACCTCAGTTGTGGGAGGGCTCCGCACCCTGGAAACCAACCCCCAAACCCTGGGTAAAAGCGTAACCGAGGGAAAGCTCATGAGGTCAGCCCCCTTCATCAGCGCCAGAGAGAGAGGCACACGGTAAACAAAAAAGCTACATCTACACTGCCCTCTTGTGCAAGAAAATATGTAAATGAGGTGAAGCAGTGAGTATCGCTGTGCCTCATTTGCATACTTAATGAGCCACCCTTTTGCTCAAGGGGCTTTTGCGCAAAAAGGAACCATCTACACGGCTCCTTTTTGAGCAAAGCCCCCCTCTTGCACAAGAGCCGTTCTGCCACTTTTTTTCAGGAAGAATGGCTCTTGCACAAGAGGGGGTTTTGGTGCAAAAGCCCCTTGCACAAAAATGGTGGCTCATTAAGTATGCAAATGAGGTGCGGAGATATTCACTGATTTGCCTCATTTGTGTATTTTCTTGTGCGAGAGAGGGCAGTGTAGACGTAGCCAAATGTGTTTATTAACAGTCGGGTTTATGTGGCTGCACGTGAAAACAGCTCAAAGTAAGCTACTCGATTAAAATGAACAGAAACCACCTAGCTCCTTCCAATCCACAAAGAGACGCGTTACCGGTAAAGTCTCACCCTAAACATTCCTCTTCTCTCCGGTAAAAGCTTCACATCAGAGTTGTTGTTTTTTACTCTGATTTGGGGCTCCGGCCTGTCAGGGTCCTTCCAGTATTCCCATGGAAAAACACCAGGTTCAAAATGGATTCCAGCTCCAGGGGGTAAGGGCTTGTGTCTTTCCAGACCCGCCATTTGGGCGCACAGGACAGAGAAAGCTGTTTACAGGTTGCAGAACGAATCAGTGAGCCATTAAGTTTCGGGGGGACCAGTAATGGCCTCGTTAGCGCATTTGGAACTATAAACAGCTCCCCACGTCCTACTTCCAACGTCACAGACACGCATGAGACATGCACCGAAACAGGACGTACAGACCCGGCAGCTTGTGACTGCAAAGTTGACGTTACATGACTTGTTTTGCATAAAGCATGTTCAGGTCCCGCATATTCATGGTCCTAAGCCAATTTTCATAAGGCCCGGGAGGGCGGGGTACAGCACAAGCGGCAACTCCTTAATCCGTCACAGGATTGCTATCAGGCATTCTTAAACCTGAGATACCCACGCGGGGATGTGGAAAACCGGACTGACAGCCAGCCGAGTAGCCAGGCATCCATAGGCCCAACAAAGAAAATGACACCACCGGTCATCACCTACAGCCCCCAACTTCAACCGTCTACAACCTGTCCTGGAAACAATCCCTCGCTCTCACAGGCCTTGGGTGACTGGCCAGTCCCCGCCTACAGACAGCCCCCTAACCTCAAACAAATTCCTTCCAGCAACCACGCAGCACCCTTCAAGAATACCCACCCCTGCAATCAGCCCCGGTGCAACTCTGTCCACACATCTACTCAAACGACACCATCACAGGACCTAACCACATCAGAGGCTCGTACAACTGCACCGCCACCAACGTGACCCTCGCCATCGAGTGCCAGCAATGCCCTTCGGCCATG